CCCCCACCCCTTTTTGCTCTCTTGGTTACTCAAACTCGCGGAAGTGAGGGTGTTTACCATCTGAGCAACTCTCTCTCGTCCCTGCACTGGTTGAAACTGCTCAATTTTTCTATTTTTTTTTACACTTTTGGTCCTTTCATGTCCATGTAATGAACATGAATTGGAATGTGCAACGTGAAATATGTTATAGAATTGGAATGTGCAGGTGTAGAGCCTAATTAATTAGCTTAGGATTAGTATTTAGACATTGATTGATTTAGTAGAGTCCAATCCCAATTTATCATGGAAGACATGACTATTTATATATAATGAAGTTATTGTCTCAAGTAGAGAGCAAGAAGAGAAAATAACATAATAAAAAAATTGTATTTTTACACTCAATATCATTTTATAATGCCCAAATTTATCCTTTCAACTTTTCTGTATGGTTAAAAATTGTCCTAATGTTGAAACTTCCACTATGGGTCAAGGGCTAGAACGCAGGACTTTAATTCGACTCCTCCTAACGTAACAGATTAGAATAATGTATTATATCATAAGAAGACTAATAAGTTATTCAATCAATTTCCTATTTATGATTAAGAATTGTTGGTCAACATGGTGAAGTATATAATTGTAATAGTGACAACTTAAAAAAGAAACCCTAGAAAAAAAAAGTGTAATTGTCCTAAAGAGAAAAAGGAAGGGGTTATATTATATGAAATGAGTACAAGCATGGAAGGAAGAAAAAGAAAGTGTATATTGGAATCTAAAATTCTTCTATGTATAAAAGGGAAAGGAGATAAAACAAATGGACAGAGATTGGATTGCATCAGTACTCTATATTATATAGTATATTATATTATATTATCAACATTATATTCATGACACTAGATCCAAGAATTCTTTTTTTTTTTCATAAAAAAAAATAAAAGAAGAAAGAATGGCCCATAGCAGCAACAAACTCCAACTTGGGATAAGGTGTTCTTTTTCTAAAGTAGAAAAAAGGTTTATGTGGTCCTCTTTAGAAAATAAAATAATACTTCCTCCGCTTTAAAAAAAAAACAATCTAGTTTAATTTGACATTACCTTAAAAAAAAATTTAAAAAATTCAATCTTATGATCCTAAATTAATTAAAGTTATGACAATGTATCAAAACAGAGGCATATATATCTAGAGGAGATTCCGTGGATTCACGTGAACCCATGCTCCCCTCTCTAGATTATACTATATAGTAGTGTTATATTTTTATATTTTTTAAAAAAAATATATTTAAATATAAAGGGTGTGAACCTACGTTAAAAGTAGCATATAATAATGCGATGATGATTGGGTGCACCTCTCTAAGCAAAGATAGAAATTTAAATCTTATATCTATCTTATTTTTATTAGTAACACCCCTCCAAGTGGTTATCGGTAACACTTTTGGCGTTTCAATCAAATTTTCTTTTATTTTTTTGCTTAATCTTTCGAAATTTTCAAGTGTGTAACATTGGAAATTCCTTAAAAAAATTAGCACAGTAAAAATTTTATATAATTAAATCAAATGTGTATATTAAAATTTAAAACTAGTAGTATTATA